CCGCCTCTCCCCGGAGCCAGTACAACTTCATCGCAGACGTGGTGGAGAAGACTGCGCCGGCTGTTGTCTACATCGAGATCCTGGACCGGTAATGGGGGTGGGCCGGGAGGGCTGAAGCCACGGGCTGGCGGCGGGCGAGCGGGAGGGGCCAGAGCCTCCTCGGATCCTTGCTTGTCTTCCATCCTAGGCACCCGTTCTCGGGCCGCGAAGTCCCTATCTCAAACGGCTCAGGATTCGTGGTCGCTGCCGACGGGCTCATCGTCACCAACGCCCATGTGGTGGCCGATCGGCGTAGAGTGCGTGTGAGGCTGCCCAGCGGCGACACGTATGAGGCCGTGGTTACAGCTGTGGATCCTGTGGCCGACATCGCCACGCTGAGGATTCAGACCAAGGTGGCGGTCAGGGCCGGCCAGGTCTGGTTGGAGCTGTCTGTTTGCTTGCATCTCCAGGTGACAGGTCTCTGGTGCCCGTTGTCCCTTAGGAACCTCTCCCCACGCTGCCTCTGGGACGCTCAGCTGATGTCCGGCAAGGGGAGTTTGTTGTTGCCATGGGAAGCCCCTTTGCACTGCAGAACACGATCACATCTGGCATCGTGAGCTCCGCTCAGCGTCCAGCCAGAGACCTGGGACTCCCCCAAACCAACGTGGAATACATTCAGACGGATGCAGCTATTGACGTGCGTCCTGGTGTGAGAGAAATGACAGACTAGGGTGGAGGAGAGGGGAGAGTCTATATGATATAGGCATCAACTCATATATGGTAGAGGGACTTGTATACAGAGGTTGGCCTGCAAAAAGTGGCCACTCACTCATGGGCTGGGAAAGGAGAATTTGGAGGAAGAACTGACGTCCTGGTTATGTCCTCAGGCTTAGAATCCCCAGATCTCTTCCATGTTTTCTCCTTGTCCTGCAGTTTGGAAACTCTGGAGGTCCCCTGGTTAACTTGGTGAGTGGGCCATCCTTCTTTCCAAGAATCCCTGCCCCAGGTCAGTGTGAGTTTTCCCTAATTCAAGGATGTTTGGTCAAGTTTCTGAGCAGTTTTTGTGGGCTCTCAGTATCCAACCAGATTTCCCCAACACCTGCTGCTACTTTTGTTCACTCCCTGCTATCTGTTTGGGCTAGGGAACAGGGGGCTGTGTTTCTGCAGGATGGGGAGGTGATTGGAGTGAACACCATGAAGGTCACAGCTGGAATCTCCTTTGCCATTCCTTCTGATCGCCTTCGAGAGTTTCTGCATCGTGGGGAAAAGAAGAGTGAGCTTGGCTTATGGGGAAAGGGGTTCCTTTAAAGTGGTGGGTGGGGCACGGTGAAGAGGCATGCATTGGGACTTGCTGGAGGTTGGTCTATTGGGAGAAGCGGGAGGGGAAGGAAGGGTGTAGCTGGTGAGGCTCATTTGTCCCTCTGTCATAGATTCCTGGTTTGGAATCAGTGGGTCCCAGCGCCGCTACATCGGGGTGATGATGCTGACTCTGACTCCCAGGTAGGAGCTGTAGGGATAGTGATGTGTAATGTGACTGTCTTACCCCCAGGCCTGAGTGACTTATGGGACACCCCTGGCACCTCTGTTGAGCTTTGTTCTCATTTCTGTCTTTATCAAAGATGAGCTGCTTCACACTGGGCGCTATCACAAGTGCTCTCTCCTCTCATCACCTTGACTTTCTTACCCCACACCACTTTGAACACCTCTCACCAGACTGATATCCTGTTAACACTTCGATTGAAAGGCTTCAATTCATTCACCTGGCATTTAAGGGCCATTTTCCATCTGTCTCTAAATCAACCTTCTGCACCTGGCTACTATTACTTCTTACATGAATACTCTGTTCCAGCCAACTTGATTTCCTACTCCAATGTTTTTTTTTTTACTTATGCTGTTCTTGTTTTATATAGTTGATATGAGACCCATTCTTTTAGGCTGAGCTTAAGTTCTCCCTCCTTAATGCTTCTCTTAATATTCTAACATGACGTTAGTGTTATTAACACTGTTTGTCATTTGGAATTAGTCATCTTTTAGTACATTTTCTACTTCTTAGAAGGCAGAAAGCAAATTGCCTTTTTATCCACGGTACCCGGTGCACGACCCATGTGTACACTTGTCAGTGTGTTGATGCAAGACTCGAGGTGAACTCAAGATGGGGAGAGTACCCGAGTTTGGCTAATAGGATGATCTGTGTACTTTCAGCATCCTTGCTGAACTACAACTTCGAGAACCAAGCTTTCCAGATGTTCAGCACGGTGTACTCATCCACAAAGTCATCCTGGGCTCTCCTGCACACCGGTGAGGGAGACACTGCAATGTGAGGTGGGGGTGGGGAAGACATGCATGCGCCCTTGAACTGGGTTGTCTACTCCCTCCTTTCTCTCTGTCTGTTTTTCTCTGTAGGGCTGGTCTACGGCCTGGTGATGTGATTTTGGCCATTGGGGAGCAGCTGGTACAAAATGCTGAAGATGTTTATGAAGCTGTTCGAACCCAGACCCAGCTGGCAGTGCGGATCCGGCGGGGACCAGAAACACTGACCTTATATGTGACTCCTGAGGTTACAGAATGAATGCATCAGCAAGACTATGAGGCTCCTGCTCTGATTTCCTCCTCACCTTGCTAGCCTAGGCTTGGAGGACACGGGGACAGAGGATTAAATGAGCCAGTGGGGGCAGGTCCCTCCACCACCAGCACCAATCCCTGGGCTCTGAAGAATCACAAACACTTTTTATATAAAATAAAATTATACCTAGCAACATGTTATAGTCAAAAATGAGGTGGGGGAGCTGGATCTTTTCCCCCACCAAAAGGCTAGAGGTAAAGCTGTATCCTCTTAAACTTAGGGTAGATACTGGAACCGACCATCCTGACCTCACTGTTCAAGAAAATGAGCTGCTGTCATCTTTCGTTCTGGGCACTACTCTTTGTGGTGTGCTCTGCTCGGGCCTGGGCCTGGGCCTGGGAGCAAAGATTCCCCATGCCTGGCCACAGACACTGACAGCTGGCCTACGAAGGAGGGTGATGACTTCTGCTTGACAGTTCCACATCCAGAGCGCACAGCTGGATGATTGTGGTGGGCCTGCTGATATCAGGGGTTTCTTGGTAAGCTCCTGAGGTAATGGCATCCTCAGACCCCTGCCATTAGGGGCCAGTGGTGGTTTGCAGAGGAGGGTGGTGGTACTTTAGATGATCTGGTTGCTGGTCTGGCCAGGGTAGCGTTCGAACCTCCTGTTGGCCTCTTCACTAAAGGCATCACCTGCAGGGTGGACAGGAAGGTTAGGAGATACCCTGCACAGAGGCAGGAAGACAGAACCCTTGTGGGGAAGGGCGAGTAGATGTGGAGAGACTGTGAGGCCCTGAAGTGGGTGGGAAGACTCAAAACAGGGAAAATGGTGAAAGCCTTTCCCTCCCATCCTCCAATCTTCCTGGGTTGCTCTTCCAATCAAATACCAATGTGGCAGTTGTGCACCCAGATGCGGTGTCCATCATATTTGCAGTTACATTTCATTGCATTGTTGGTGAAGTCACTCTCTGCTACTTCAAAATTTGGGTTGATGACCACCTGTGAGTGAGAAAAAGGCCATGTAGCCCAGCTGCATTCCTCAAATCCAAAGGTGTCTTTAACACACCTTCCACAGGCCATCTGGAAGCCCAGACGCAACACACCTGGAGAATGTAGTTTCCTGGCTTCACATCTGTGATGTCAATCCACTGACAGTCGATGTCGTGCCGGTAGAGATCCCAGCAACCCACGGTGATGCCCTGCTCCCCAAAGTTGGCACACTCATACCTCTTGGAGACATCTGGAGGGATTGGCATATGTCAGTGTAAGGAAAGGCTGTGCGGTGGATGGATGCGGTCACTCCAGGCCCCAACTCACCCTCCTGACACTCAGTGTCTTCAAGACAGAAACTAGCTTTGTGGCCCTCAGCCACCTTGGTGCCATTTGGAGTCAGGATGTCGTAGTGAGTGAAGATGTCCATACTGTGGTAATGCCTGTGGGGACGAGAGAACTCTTGTCTGCCCCCAGCAGGCTTGCACCATCCCCTGTGGCCTTGCCCTTCTACCTGACCCCTGATCCTCTCACCCATGGCATTCGTGCCACACCCAGGAATGGCGCCCAGCCTTGGGTCTGAAGTCAGCTCGTCCCAGGTTGTGGATCTGGGAGGAGAATCGGAGCAGACGCCGGTGGCCATAGGGCCAGTTGGCTGAGCGGGCCGAACTGGCCAGGCAGTTCTCTTCTGCAGCACAGTACAACATGTGCAGGGGCCGGTCCTCGATGTAGGCAGTCTCCTGCACCAGCGCTGAGTGCAGCAACAGGTCTGATGCAGCTGCGCCAAGAAAGGAGAAGAGCATGAGAAGTCTCCGCTGAGGGGCAGGTACAGATGGGTGGGCTTCCATCCCTCCCTAGAGTGTGTGAGACTGGTTTTCTGTGGGGAAGGAGGACCCCTCCAGAATTCAGCCTCTTCTTTCCCTACAGAGGGGTGGCCGACCCAGAGCCTCCCGTCCCTGGCTTGTGTCACTCACTCTCAGAACAGATGACTCCAGCAGTGAAGCGGGTCTCTGTCCTCTTACAGGTGATGTGGGTGCCATGATGGGCACATTGGTCTAGGGACAGCTCAGTGCCTGTGCAGCGTACTCCACTCATTACCACCTCTGTGATGTTCCCAGAGTCCCAGTACCAGGTCTCCTGGGGGCATATGCAGGCATTTCTGTGAGGCCCCGGGACTCAGCCTCCTAGGCTAAGGGACTCATCACCACAGTCCTCTGCCCAAAACACAGGCTTCAGAGGCAACGCTTTGGCTCCCCTCTTCCCACTCACCTGCAGACCATGGTTAGCGTAGCCCAGACCAAGTTGCCTACAGGCCACCATGGCCTCCAGGGTGCCCCAGTCATCCCCACAGATGAGGCCCCAGCGAAGAGGTCCAGGTCCCCCTATTTGCACCTCAACTCGCCCCTCGTGTCGGCTGCGGCCTCCACTGAGTCGGATCTGTAGTGACACAGAATAGAAGTGCTGAAGAAAGCTTTGGGGTGGGGTGGTGGGGGTCTGTAGCAGGGATGTGGCCAAAGAATGATTCAGAGACACATAAGGGATAGCAAATGGTGAGGTCGGTTGGGAGCTGCAGGATGGCAGGGACCTGGGCAACCGGCTGGGGCTGCCAGACTACAGAGTGGAGGCCAGGACTGGAGAGGATAAGCGACGAAGACCTCACCAAGTTGAAAGTAGGACTGACCTTGGCCTCCACCCCAGTGTAGGGCAGATTGCATCGGACTCCAGCATCCTGGCTATGGGAACAGTCCTCTGCCGTGATGTTCTTGTGGGGGCACTTCCAGAGGGAGGGCTCCTGCCCAGAGCATCGAACTTCACTCAAGTGGATGGCACCCATGCCTGGGGTCAGACGCCAAAGGTCAGGAGGTTGTGAGCAGGTCTCCACTGGCCACCCGGGGACTGCTAACTTCCCAAGGAACATACCCCTCCGGAGTGTGGGTTTCTTTCCTCCCTTCCCTCCCACCTCCGTGGCCCCCTCACCCTGCCCCATGCGGGCCCCACTCAGAGCTTCTCGAGCACTCCCGAAGCCCAGCTCCCGACACACCACGCCGGCTGCCTGCAGGTCCCACTTGCGGTCACAGACTGTGCCCCACGTGCCAGCCTTCAGGACTTCTACCCGGCCCTCTCCAGGGTGGGCCCCACCTTTTAGACGCACACGAGCCTACAGAAGAGAGAGACGTGCCCAATAGAGGTGAGTGGAGACATCGGCATGGAGAGAGCCAAGGAGACCTGGGAGATGAATGAGATTTTGGTGGGAGGGGATGGGTGGTGTCAGGTCTGTGGCCCACCCCCTGGAAGGTTCCTCTCTGTCCTCAAAGGTCAGGGCTGTGTTTAGTCAGGGGGTGGCCAAGCTAGGGGTTCCCCACCTGGGGTGGGAAAGGTCATAGTCACTGTCACACACCTCCCCCTGAGGCTTCGACTGCTGTTGCTTCTTCTGGCCACTGGACGCAGCGTAGAGAGGGCCTGGCACACAGCTCACCACCGCAGGGGCCCCCCCGGGGCACCTGATGGTGTCATTGGCACGATAGAACTCCAGGGAACAGAGGGAGAGGTGGGCTTCCGTGCCCCTGCACGCCACCCCATGCAGACCAAAGGAGTGTTGCTGCCGCTGGGCCAGCAGCCTGGGGGGACAGGAGTGAGGTGCAGTCGGGTAAAACAATGCTCCTGCCTCTCGGCCCCACAACCCTCCTCCCACTCCACACCGCCATCAGCCCCCCACCTTTCATGACCACTTCATCCCCTCTTCTCTCCCCTTCTGTGTTCCCCTCAGGAGAGACAAAGGAATTGCAGAGTTTCCAGGCTGACAGGAGGGCCCTGGGGACCTTTGGCAGCAGAAGAACCCAGGGGAAGGATGGCTGGTCTTGACTTCCCTGACTGAAACATTGCTCCAAGTGCTTTCAGGCTGCTGGCCCTTAAAGGAGGCTGAGGCTGCCGTGCGGATAGACTGGAGAGCTGGGACTACCCAGCTGGAAGAGATGGTCAGGAGTGGCCAACACAGACAGGAAGCCTGAATAGCCAGGGTGGGCAGATCCTTCTATGACACTGAGATGGAATAAATGAGTGAGTCAGGACGCAAAGGACTGAGGAAGTCTTCGATCCAAATGGCTTCTCAGAGGCTAGTGGGGTTTCCAAGCCAGAGGCTCCGTAGGATATAATATGACAGGCAGTCACAGGAAGAATGGACCAGAGGGTGAACATAGGAAGGACTGGCACTGGCATATGCAGGAACGAAGATGCATAAATGCAGGACAGACCAAAGTTTGAGGGAATACAAACTTCTGGAAGGAAGAGGAGGAAAGTGGATGTGAATAACAAAATGGCAAAGATGGCCCACCACCTGAGCTCAGCTGGTCACAGACTGTGCACTCTTTAATGAGATAGTTGGAGCTTCTGCAGTTTAAACATAACAGAGTGTCCCATGGTGATCTGAGCAGGAAAATGGGACTAAACTCGAAATATTGAGGTTTAGACATGCTGCAGAGATTTTTGAGAGAATGAGGGGACTTGGCTTGTTGATACCAATGGGATGAGATATAGCAGTGAGGCATGCAGGGAAGTACACTCTTCCCAGAACAGTAGGGTCGAGCCCGGAGAGGAAAGGAAGCTAATGAGGCCTGGCATTGGTGGAATGGGCCTCTGAGGCTGATGTGGTCATATGTCATTGCAGTAATGTGCCCTATCACTTGATGTCAGGGGAAAGGAAATATGATGACTTGAAGCCAATGGCTAGGAAGACACAGGGAGGAGGGAAAGTCTATACACAAAGCAGACAAAGGAAGCCTGGAGATTTTACAGAATACCTTTGGAAGCTCAGGATAAATGGATCCTGAAGATCAAAAGATCAGGCACTCTCCCAAAGTCCTGTTTGACTGAAAATAAAAGTCAAAGAGGCCATCACAGGAAAAAGACATCTATCTTCGAAACACTTTCCTCCCTCTTCTCTACAATGAACAAAATAAAATTGGCAGTGTGTGCCTCAATGTGGGGGTCAGGGAAGGTCGGAGTATGGCCATGTCAGGCAAAGACCACTTGACCCTAAGCTAGAAGGGTACTACAAGACCACCCTCAAAATCTGAGCTCGTCTGAAACCACCAGACAGAGAAGCTGGGGAATGAGGGATGTCAGGGGACCACTGGATGAGACTGGAACTTGCTGAGGGGAGGCAGGGAGAAGGGGATGATTTCTCTGTACCTCAGTCCCTGCTAAAGAAGTTATCCGGGAGACTTTTAATGTGCAAGCTACCTTTTGAAGACAAGTTATATGTAATCCCCAGGGCTGGAAGTCTTCCACTTCCCTGAATTCTGAAGGAGCCCAGGAGGACAGTTATGGAGCCTAATCGTGTAGACTGAGCCCCAGAGGCAGGGGCTGTCATCTGACTCCATCCCTAAAGGTTTCAGAGGGGACCCTGAGTCTCACTCCATCTCAGGCAAGCTGGTAGTACTTATTTTAAAATATCATTTGAGTTAAAGTAGGATGGGAACACGCAAACTTAACCCCTGGGAGGAGAGGCAAGTATGACTTCTGAAGGAGAAAAGTGCTAGATTATCTCCTACAACTCCCTGGGGGAAGAGAGTAAGCATGTGGAACAAGGTAGTCACTGAACGAAAAAAATGAAAAATCCTGTGACCAGCATGATTTCCCAGGGACCAACACATGGACCAAGCATACTTGATGTTTCGGTCAATGCTCTTCCACCTCTCAGTCAGCTCTTTCGGCCCAACAGGCCTCCTGGACCCCTCCCTGACCACAGCCTAATTCCTCAGCTTCATAGCTCCGTGCTCCCTCTCCTGTCCACCCCACCTGAACTTTATTTACCTCTTGGTTGGCCCCCTGCCCACTCGGGGTTTGGATTTGACTTTAAACTTGGTGATTGGTCTGCAAAAAGGAGAAAAAAGTTGGTGGGGGGTAGTGGTTAGGTGTGAGGCCCAAGAAAGGCAGAGGGCTATTTTTCTGTTTCCTGGGAGAACTCTTCATGCAGGGTGTGGGGAAGGGCAAAGTGAAGGACGGCCAAGTTTTCCATACACACAGCTGAACACCACCAAACCGAATTTCAGGAGTGCATGATGCTCTCTGGATTCAGCAATAGTAGTGGGAAATACAGGTGGGGGAGAGGGAAGGGGGAGGAGGAAAGCGGAGGTGAAGGGAGGAGAGAGAATGGGACGCGGGTGAACTGAGGGAGGGTGTGGAGGGGGGTAGAAGGAGGAATGCAGGTGGCTGAGGCTGGAATCCACGCTATTTGGGGAAGTATAAAGATGAGTGGCTTCTCCTCAGCCATTGTTTCCTGCATTATTTCCTCCTTGTGTTCCCTAAGACCAAAGCTCGTCCAGCCCCATGCCTGCCCCCATCACCTCCCCCAGGGAACGGCCATTTTCCAGTCACAACCCTGATCAGCTTGGGTTCTGGATGGACATGGATTGGCTGCCATCCATCCATCCACCTCCTGGGCCACGGGGGCGAGCAGGAGGTCCCGGGGCTCTTGCCCCATTACCTTCCAAGGGGCTTGGGGCGTCGGGCCGAGGCTTTGGCCGCTTGCTTCCTCAACTTTCTGTGAGGATAAGACAATAGCAGTCAGAATCAGTGCAGAACCAAGTAGGGAAGGCTGGTGCAACTAGGACCAGGGGCAAGATTTCTTGTCTGGCAGTCAGAAGGGCTCATGATGGCAGGACATTATGACATTAGACACCACCAAGGCCCTGCCTTCATAACGACTTGGCTTCATCGGCCCATGACCGGGTGGGTGAGCAGCAGTGAGGGCCATGGACTTAGGACATAGTGTCCCTATGCCAGGACCCTCAGAAGTTGTCTAAGGTGGATGGGGAATGAGGACTCCTGGGTCCAGATACTAGTGCTGAACCCCAGCAGATGGCTAAGGGGAAGCTGTCAGGATTGGCAGGATTGGCAGACTGACCAGGATAGAAGAGAGAGAACTCGGCTGGGTCAGCCTCGGGGGACTGACTGTATCATTTTTGGCTGGATGTACTCTTTAAGAAAGGTCTCTGTCAGCGTCCCAGGCCAAGGACCAGGACCAAGTATGGATATCCAAGGACGTTAGCTTGGTCTGACTGGAGGGCACAGGGCGGGCCCCTTAGGATGACAGCCCCTTTCTTGCTCAAGCTCCAGTCCCTTATGCTTTGGTCATTCACAAACTGAGCTCATCTCCCAAACTTAATTCCTGGGAAATAAATCTTGTTTCTTTTTAATTGGCCTAAATAATTGACTTATGTCATTCTTCAGGAAGTTTCCTTAAGTCTACTGTCTTAACAGGTCTGTTTCTCCTCTCATTCTCCCTTTTATTTTGAAGTCTTCAATTATGGCCTCTCTTTGTATAGAGATGACTGTATAGAGATGAATGCAGGTCTTGTCTGTCTGTCCTTATACATTTATGGAATTTCCTATTATCTCAGTTGTCCTTTCTTTGAACATGTTCTGCTCTGCTGTTTCTCTTGAGTCATATTTCAACATACTACATTAAGCCTTCATGGGTTCTGCATCCATGGATTTAACCAACTGCATATCAAAAATATTTGAAAAAAATTGTTTCTGTACTGCACATCCACAAATTTTTTCTTTTTAATAATTCCCTAAACAATACAACAACTACTTACATAGCATTTACATTGTATCAGGTATTATAATATAGAGATGACTTAAAGTATACAGAGGATGCGTGTAGGTTATATACAAATACGATACTGTTTTATATAAGGGACTTATGCATCCTTAGATTTTGTTATCCTCGGGAGGTCCTGGAACCATGGATACTGAGGAATGACTGTTTACAGTGTGAAGCTGCACTGGAGTTTTAATATATATATTTATTTTATTTTATTTTATTTTTTTGAGTCAGAGTATCACTCTGTTGCCCAAGATGGAGTGCAGTGGTATGCTCATGGCCCCTGCAGTCTCGGCCCACTGGGCTCAGGTGATCCTTCCACTTCAGCCCTTAGCCTTCCATGTAGCTGGAACTGCAGGAATGCTCCACCATGCCCAGCTAATTTTTTTGATTTATTGTAGAGATGAGGTCTTGTCAAGTTGCCCAGGCTGGTCTCAACCAGACTCAGGCAATCCTCTTGCCTCCGCCTCCCAAAGTGCTGGGATTACAGGTGTGAGCCACTGTGCTCAGCATATGTATATATTTTAAACCAGTCAGAAGCTGTTTGGTAGTTTCTGCCCCAGTTTCTTCCTGAGGATGTGCTTAGTTGCTAATTGTCAAAACTTCCAATAGGTCCAACATTCCTAACAAAGCATCCAAAGCTCTCAAGTCTCTTTCCTGAGATGTTACTAATGGTAAAAGCCTTTCATCTTTATTTTTATTTTATTTTTTGTAGCGATGGGGGTCTTGCTATGTTGCCCAGGCTGGTGTCAATAAAAAACACTTGGCACTTTCTTTCACCAATCAAGCTGGAAAGAACCTCTTAATCTCTGGAGTAATATTCAAAAAATTTAGTATTATCTAGAAATTTAGAAGTTCCTCTTCTCCAAGTTATTTAAGAATCTTATAAGATCCTTACACTATTTGTATATTATATATACACATGCATAGGTAATATTATCTCATATGTATATAAGAGTTTAGAACACTTAATAAATATAAAATTTTTATATAAAAAATTATATATAG